GCTTAGGATTCAGGGGTTTAGGGTTTAGGGGCTTAGGGTTTAGTGGTTTTCGGGTTTAGGGTTTTAGGGTTTAGCATCTTACCTCTTCAACATGACAACAAAGCTAACCCTGCAGCGAGATATTAAGTTTGTAAGCACCCAAACCAGCTACCAGGTTGAAAATAGGACAACTGGGCTCCTGGCACAAGAACACGTTTAGGCTTAAAGGCTTAGGGCTATTTTCCGGCTTTTGGCTTAAGGGAGGGCACAAGGAAGCACGCCGAATAACAGGAATAATGGCATGTACCATGCGAGCCATAAGAACTGAATCCGTGGTAGTCATCAAAGTCTTGTTTAGGGTTTAGGGTTTAGGGTCTAGGGTTCGTCAAAGTCTTGTTCTGCCTCAGCCTGACCAACACGCAAGAAGGATATCTGCAGCCGAGAAACGGCTGAAGCTCTTCCCGGGATAGGACCTTCACAGACGTTGAGGGTTTAGGGTTTAGGGTTTTTTTTCAATATGCAGTGGGTTTAGGGTTTAGGGTTTAGGGTTTGGGGTTTAGGGTTTAGGGTTACCCCTAAACCCCAAACCCCTAAACCCTAAACCCTAAACCTAAGCTGTGGTGCCTCCCACAATCAGATTACGAACTCTCGAGAGGACCCTTGTGATGCTAGGAAGACGCTCAACTTATTGGGCTTTGGGATAGGCGACTCAGAGGCTCCCGCGACTTAGTAAGGAGGATCCGTATGATACGATCATAGACAAACCCGAATAGGGTACCTCTAACCCCAACAACCTAACTTAGGGTTTAGAGGGGTTTCGGTCCGCAGACAGAAGAACCATGCGTGAAACCAGAAACTGCGATTGATTCTGGTACCTACACTTATGGTCGAATTACGGCTTCGGCTTTTGCGGTGCAGGCTCAGATGTGCAGTCTCTAGGACTATGGGTCAGTCTGAACATGTGTAACCTCTTCCTTGAGTGGACTTCAAAGCCGGGATGCACCCAAAACCCTCGTTCTCCCATCCTAAACCCCAAACCCTAGCGGCCCTAGCTCCCTTACCCAAAATCCGCCTCTGCCCACATGATACCTTAGGTTTAGGGTTTAGGGTTTAGGGTTTAGGGTCACGAGTAGCTCGCAGCTTAACGACAAAGTCGATTCTCGGGCTTCGAATTGAAGGAACTGACCTCGGACCCTGCTGCCTTCTTTCGAGGCCCCTTGAAGGAGCCCAAAAACAGGAAAGTAACGGAACCCATACACTTCAATGGTGCTGTGGAGAGTTCGATTGTGTTTAGATCCACTTAAGCACTTTGGGTCGACACCCTTACAACCCGAAACACAGGGTTCAGAGTGTCTCATACATCCGATAAGCCCTGAACCCTCTGCTCCACCTGAGATCTAAATCCCTGAAGGAGACAACTGGCTGAGACACCGCAATAAACCCTAATTAAGCCCCGACCGGCAAAGCTTTAGAAGCAGACCCTAAACCCTAAACCCTAAACCCTAAACCCTAAACCCTAAACTCTAAACCCTATGGTTCAAAACCCTACCTACATCATGGACCCTGAGACCTTCACCCGTAAAGAGCCCGAAACCCCGGCCTCACCACTCGGGTTTAGGGTTTAGGGTTTAGGGTTTAGGGTTTAGGGTTTAGGGTTTAGGGGGTTTTGCGAACCTTAAAGCAACAACCCCAAGACACCCCCGGAATCCGAGAAAAAACCCGGCCTGCGTCTCCTCCAAGGCAAAGCTCGTTGACCTCTCCGGTGTAGGGGCTGGTGGCTTTACTTTGGGTTTCGACAGGTCTTACAGGAATTTGCAATGTGTTTACAAGGTTTAGGATTATATAATTGAGTCTGGGTGTTGAGGTGGGGAGAATTCAAAGTCACGCCGGGATTGGTGCTGCGATTCCCGGCTCAACCTTAAACCCTAACTACACCCCAAACCCCTTTGCCCAAAGAGAATGAGGATGGTTCTCTGGCTCCAACGTTGCAGATTAAGAGCCCTGCTCCGCAACGCCGTCTCTTGCGAATCCCGTTAGGTTTAGGGATCTAAGGGTTTAGGGTTGGGCCCCCCAGGACGTAGGGTGTAGCATTTAGACTTCAGATCAGGGTTTCCGGTGTTGACGGAGCTGTTGGAAGAGGACCGTCTCGAGAATGATGGACGGAGCGGATCACATCACGCTCCTCGCGCGCTTAAGCCCTAGCCACTGAAGCCTTTAAAACCTCAAAAACCCTTTACCGAAAGCAACTGGCGGAAATTTTAAACGAGGACGAAGGCCCGGAAATCCCCCTCCCCCCCCCCAACTCGAACCGACAACCCTTACCCCGATGGGGCGATTCTAGAAAATATACTGTTGCATAGAAAGCCAATCCCTAGGCTAAAAAGCCAGCCTTCCACATGCTTAAACACACGCATAGTGTCGCGAGTCCTAGAAAAGCTGGAGCCTCAAGAATGCTGCGAGCGCGAAACTTCGTCTAAAGGTTCAAGCGTGAAGTGCTCAAGAGCTCAAGGGTTGAAGGGCTTAAGGCGTGGGGTTTGGGAGTTTAAGGTTTCTGCACGACTCTAGATTAAGACACAACGAAGACGGGAAGCAAGCTTAACGGTTTACGGAGGGTGAGGAGTTTCAGGCTTAAGGGGTCTAAGGCTCTGGCGTTCGAAAGTAGATTTTCTGGGTGACTGAGGATTGGAGAAGAAAAAGACAGTAGAGACGCAAGGAGGCACAGCAGGGTAAGGTTTGGGATCCGAAGCGACAAGCCCTAAATCCTAACACTGAGCCTCTGAGGTTTAGGGTTTAGGGTTTAAGCTATATAGGCTAATGTGCAGGATGTTGGCAAAGGTTTGGGGTTTCGGGTGAGTGGCACATCGTCACACTTGTTGTAAAGAGCACAAAACCAGTTTAACACAAAACTGCAACTAGTAAGCCAAGAACTCATCCATGGCAATCATAAGCTTCTGCCTCAAGCTGGACAGCCAGAAGGACTATCTGCAGCCGAGTTGCTTTTGCAGCTTGGGCTTGCCTGGAGAGCTGTGGATCTTTTGCGCTGAATCGCCGATTTCCAAGCAGTCCTTGCATGCCAACATGGCACCAAAAGACCGACATCCGAAATCCAGCTTCGGAGAAAAGCGGGCCCCAACTTCGACTCCAACCCTAAACCCTAAACCCTAAACCCTAAACCCTAAACCCTAAACCCTAAACCCTAAACCCCTAAACCCTAAACCCTCCAAACAATCGGATCCTAACGCCCCTCCCCGCATCCGTCAAACCGAAAATCTGATTCCAAGACGCGCGACATCTCGTAGCGGGCTTTATAATTAGAACAGGGCTTTGGGCTCCTGTAAAGTATACTGAAAAAAGAAGGAACCCTAACGAAGAAGGCTGGTAATTCTTTATGCTTCTACATTGTAGGGTTTCGGGACTCAGCCAGGGCCTACCTCACACGCCATTTGTCCCATCCTGAGGACTCAGATTGTCGGCTTAGGGTTTAGGGTTTAGGGTTTAGGGTCTAGGGTCTAGGGTCTAGGGTTCAGGGTTTAGGGTTTAGGGTTTAGGGTTAGGGTTTAGGGTTTAGGGTTTACGGTGCAAGCGAAGCTGTCCAGTCTCTTGATATGCAAGCGTAGCTGTGCAGTCTGTAGTGAACCTCTTTCTTGAGTGGACTTCAATCCAAAGTACCCTAAACCCACCAATTCCTCAATCCCTAAATTCCAACTCCTTCACCCAAAGAGACTCTAAGTTTCACACTAACAGTACTAAGTGAAGTCTCAGGGTCCGAAAGAAGGACTTCGAACCCCTACCTTGCCCCAGGGCCCCTTTAAAGAATCCCCAAACGCGAATTCTTGGACTTCGCCTCGGCCCCGGCCGAAGCGGTCAGAGTCTCCTATTCGGGTTCCCTCGATTCCCCACCTCTTCATCCCCTCCCCACTGACCCCCTCTCTGTAGGGAGTCTCAGGCCACCACGCCCCGCCTTGCCCTGCCGATCCCCATTCCTCTCGCTTTTCGCCCCCCCCCCCCTCCCCTGCCCGCCCCTCGCCCGGCCCCATGCCTATGGCTTCCTGCCGGCCCTTTTGCTGCCTCCCTTCTTGGGCCTCCGCTTCCGGCTCCTTTCTTCGGTTCTCGTCCCCCCATCACAAGGTGCACTTTGCGCATTTGCCTTCTTGCTTTGCCGCACTGAGCTTCCTACACAAGGGGCTCTCGAAGCTCTCGTCCATCCATGATGATGTGACATCAGGCGGACTTCCCTTTCTCTCATTCTCTGAATTCTCTGTGTACCACGACAACGACACCCGGTCTCCCTCTGCTGCTTTATCTCTGTGCTTTCTTTGTATGGCTACCACGACAACCACGGCCGCTCTCCCTGTCATGCTTGAACTCTGTGACTACCACGACAACGACGACCGAAACAGCAGCGCTATCAACCCTCTTAGGCCCCAAACCCAAGTGCTCTAAACCACGGCTTGGGCTACCCCTGCGTTTGGGGTTTTGGGCTTCACGCTTTAAAGCTTGGGGTCCGACCCTACACCCTACACCCTATCATGTAGCCGACATCGCACAAGCAAGGCCACACAAACCCGAACCTCGACTCATATCTTGCTCCCACCACACGGCCGGGCCGAGACGGACGACGCGCAGCGTGTAAATAAAAACACACTACGGTTGATGATAACCCATAATAAGGAATATGCCATAACTCCCATAGTTTAGGGAGTTTAGGGTCCTTAAGGTAATGTAGAATTTTATCATCAACGGTATCACCATCTCAATGGTGGACGATGATGGGGAGGGTTGCTTTCTGTGTAGATACTCTTAAGCACTCTGGGCCGACTTCCTCACAGGATGCAGGGTTTAGGGTTTAGGGTTTAGGGTTTAGGGTTTAGGGTCTAGGGTTTAGGGTTCAGGGTTTAGGCCTTCACCCGTAAAGAGCCCGAAACCGCGGTCTTAGCACTCGGGTTTGGGGCTTAGCGAACCTTAAAGCAACAACCCCAAGACACCCCCGGAATCCGAGAAACCACCCGGCCTGCGTCTCCTCCGAGGAAAAGCTCGTTGGCCTCTCCGGTGTAGGGGCTGGTTTAGGGTTTAAAGGCCCTGGCGACTATAACCCCAAACTGCAACCGACAAACTGGATCGAAAGGCAGAGCATGGAGTAAGGATGATTGGTGCTGCGATTCCCGACCGACTCAACGTTTAGCACGAGCTACACCTCAATCCCTTTTACTCAACGAGCATGAGGATGGCTCTCTGGCCGAGCATTGCGGGGGCTTCGGATTTAGGAGCCATGCTCCGCAACGCCGTGTCTTGCGAATCCGGTTCGGTTTAAGACTACAGTAACAGTTTGGGCTTCATGACTTTGGGCGTAGGATTTTCACTTCAGATCAGGGTTTCCGGTATTGACGGAGCAGTCGGAAGAGTACCATCTTGTGAATGATCGACAGGGCGGATCATGTCACTGTAACATTCTTGAGGCTGAGGCCTTAATAGGGCTTAGGACACTAGGCATGTGTTTAAGCATGTTCAAGGCTTGCTTTTTTGGCCTAGGGATTGGGAGTCCATGCTTGCGTGCCCGTGGTGTCGTACCTGGACCCGGTAAGGGTATCTTTTCCTAGAGTCGTCCCAACTGTTCGGGGCTAGGGGTTTAGGGATGTTCGCGTAAGGCCTTCCTGCCCGTTTACAAATGACCACAAGTACACGTTTAGGGTTCAGGGTTTATAGTTAAAATTTCAGGGTGAGGGCTTGAGCGTGTAGGGTTCAAGGGCTGTGCTTAGGAGGTTCAGAGCTTAAGGGTTTAAGGCTTGGGGTTTCGGGTTAGGGTTTCTGGGCGACTGAGGATGAAGACACCGAAAGATGGGGGACGACAGGTCCTGCTTATGATTCGAAGCGATAAAGCCTCCATCCTAGGATAAACACTACATAGCACCGAACTCACAAACGAGAAGCACAATAAGTGATATCATCATCTTGTTCTGCCTTGAGCTAACCAAAAACACATGATTTGCAGGCTAGTTATGCCCTGAATCCTAAACCCTACTGTAAACCCTGAACCCTGAAGAAGATTCATCTTGTGGGATGCAGCTAGGTGGCGATAGCATCTCTTCTCTCTGCCAACGCGCCCCCTGAATAACTGCGGAGGAGTCGGAGGTTTACCGTCCAGGCTTTAGGGCTTAGGGTGTTTTTGTCTAGGGGTTTAGGGGTTTAGGGGCTTAGGGGTTTAGGGTTGTTGGGGTTTAGGGGTTTACGGTTTCGGGGTTTAGGGTTTAGGTTGAGGGTCTAGGGTTTAGGGCTTCAGGGGTGAGGGGTTTAGGGGTTTAGGGTTCACGGTAGGTCGTTGCTAATCCGGTTGCCGGCTAGTGGTCGGCTTCTGAAGGATTTGTTGTCGACTCTTCCTGATGCTTTCTTGCTATAGCCATGCTATAATTAAAATGTACCCAAAAAACTTATCCTAATTGTTCTCTAAAACTACCCGAACCCTTTCGACCCTTCCAAAACCCTCAACGAAACAGGAGCCCTCTTCCAAAGCTGTCATGTAGAGCCCTTGTCGAACCCTATTCTAATCTTTAAAGCCCCATCTTCTTCTTCGAACATCCTAAACCCTAAACCCTAAACCCTAAAGGCCTGAGCCCTAAACCCCAAAACCCTAAAGCCTAAACCCGTAAACCTAAACCCTAAACCCGAAAAACCCTAAACCCTAAAACCGCAAACCCTAAAGGCTCAACCCTAAAACCCTAAAACCCTAAAACCCAAAACCCTAAGCCCTAAATCCGCAAACCCTAAACCCTAAACCCTAAAACCCTACAGCCCTAAACCCTAAACCCTACAACCCTAAACCCTAAAACCCTACAACCCTAAAACCGAAACCCTACACCCTAAACCCTAAAACCCTAAACCCTAAAACCCTAAACCCGAAAACCTAAGCCCCAGGCCTGGAAAGGGCCGAACTCCGTCGGGGGCTTTTCCTCGACGTCGGGGGCGTAATCGAACACCTCCTCAGGCCTGATCGCATGGGCTTGGGATCAATGTAGGGTTTAAGGTTTAGGGCTTTGGGGTTTAGGGTTTAGGGTTTAGGGTTTAGGGTTTAGAGTGTACATAGGGTTTTGGGGTGCCACATCGGGTTTGGGGTTGTGGGGTTTAGGGTTTGAGTGGTCATGTTAGCCGCGATGTGAGACACATGTGAGCCCTGCTGGTGGCCTGGCCTCGCTGGCACTGGGGGTGAAGCGAAGTCGAATTCGCAAAGCCCTCGGAGCTCACATCAGTTAGGGTTTTGGGGATCGCGTCAAGCAGGCTGCCTCTCGCTCACGACCGTTTGCAAGCAGGGGGCATTGGACAGCCGCAGCCAAGCAGTCCATGGCGCACTACTTTCGGACGCTAGCAACGACCGGCACACTTGGAATTTTGTCATAATCGGCCTGATACATGAGGTTTGGACCTCAAAACAGCAGCTCTGCAATTACATGACTCGAACAGCTTCGCACAATCTGATAGCATCTGGAGACACAGCCTACATAAAAAGATCTACAAAGATTCTTAAAGTTGCGCATGAACCCCTCCCTAAACCTACACTGCACACCGTCTGCCTTAAACCCAATATTGCTCAACTCTGACCTACCCTGAAGCGTCTACGGGAAGCTATTCTCCTCGAAAGTAAGGCTTTCTGGAGTGCTCGTTACTGTCCTTCTATTTTGCATCTCAGTACCTCGAGTGCTACCCTGACAGATTGGGCTGTGTTGCGCTGGTTCCTCCGTAAGCCAGTACGCTACACGGAAACTTGGTTCGCAGAAGCAGGGCACGACATGAAGTCCCGCAACTCGTCGAAAAAGGACCACGGACGGCGTGGGCTCGGGTTTTGGGGCCTGCCTCATGCTTAGAGATTTATGTTGTAGGATTTACTGGGTCTCTGCGGCTTTCTGAAGGACCTCGTAAGATAAGGGCGTCATAAGGGACGTGGATTGTGTTGAGGACGTGAGGGCTTCAAGCGTCTTACTAATCGGGAATTGTATGCAGTTTTATTCAGGCTTGCTATAAAGGGCTCAAGAAGGGTTTGGCAGGTGTTTACGGCTCAGGGCTTCAACCCTAAACCCTAAACGCGAAACTCTAAACCCTAAACCCTACATCCCTAAACCCGAAGCCCGAAACCCGAAACCCTAAACCCGAAACATAAACTCTCAAGTAACATGACATGGGTAGTTCTCTAAAGTAGGGTCCCTTTTAGGGTCCTTTTATAAGGGTGCCGTACTATTTTGGGGACCCAAAAAGGGACCCTAATTTAGAGAAACAGGAGGGTTTCCGAAAATAGGGGACCCTAATATAGTACCCTAAATAATAGGATCCTTATTATAAGGACCCCCAAAATAAGGTATCGCAAATTTCGGAAAGTCCCACATGAGGGGAGCACCTTCATGGGCAGCGACACGAAGCCTGGAGCCTCCGTGACCTCCATGGGGGTCCTCGGCATGAAGCAGAGGGCTAAGGGTGGGGTTAAGGGATGTCGGGTTTAGGGTCTAGGGTTTAGGGATTTAGGGATTTAGGGTTTAGGGTTGAACACTTAACCAAAGCCCTAAAATCCATGTGCGTACACCCTAAGTGCTACACCTGAACGGCCCATATCCCAAACCCAAAACGTGAAATCCCAAACCGACCCAAATATTCTGGAGTGCATCACAGGAGCAACTCAAATCTGGTTTCGTCCATGCCAATGGAGCAGACTCAGCTAGGAGCCGGAGCTCCACCGTTTTTGTTTTCTCCTGCTTCTTCTCCTTCAGAAGCTGAGGGCCACGCTGGAGCCACCTTGTTTGAGCGACAACACGGCACCTTGTTGTTTGTTTTCTTGTACTTCTCCGGATCCTCCTTCATATCCATCTGCCTGAAGTGAGCACGACTCAGAATTCCGAACGTCACCACTGCAGCGGCAACAAACAACCAACTGAAAGTGTCTCGCATCTGGGCTTGCAAGTTCCCGCCACCACCGCAACCCTCGTCGCTATTAGTGAGCTCCTCGATGCTCATATTCACGGAGCCGAAAGGGAACTTGAGAAATATGGCGATGACAGAGCCCCGAACAAAAAAGAACATGCCTGCAAGCATGCAAAGCGTCGAGGCGAGGAGGATCCAGCGAATGTGCCGGAACCAGTCGTCGAACCTTCTTTCTTTCTCCTCCTTCGCGTCCGGCTCGTGTGGGTCCGGACCCTCAGGCGGTAGATCCAAACCCGAGAACGACATGTAGACCAACACCACCAAGAAGATATCGAGGGTCAGCAAGAAGCCGCCCGTCAAAACGCACATGCGCAGGTCGTCGGCCGCCTCAAGAGGCCCCCAGCCGCGGCAGAACCCCACACGCTGGGAGGCCGCAAGCAGCTCGGTGTCCTCAAAGCTTCCTGGGTAAGAGATGAGCGCACCAAGCAGCAGGGCGCTCAGGAGGCCTTGCACATCAAGGAAGTCCTTCAGCCTCTCTTCACAGAGAGAGCCGTGGAAGAAGATGTCCCCAAGAACGTTGGCAACAGGGACATACTTCAGGATAGAAATGAAAGTCGTCTCTCTCTCTCTCTCTCTCGCAGACTCGGCCATGGCCGATCTACGAAATTGTAAGCACTGCAAGCTGCGAGCTATGGTCAAAAGGCAAGCAGAAGGAAGCCTGCACACCACTTGAGCCAAGGCCAGGGGTAAGGATTCTTAGATTCTGCAAGACTTGCGAAGCTTGCTGAGGCTGGGCCAGTGGCGCTCTGTCGATGGCTGGCGCCGAAAAGATTCTGCGGTGCCGGGCACGGAGGGATGGGCCCTCGCACAGTGATGTCTATGAGCCATGTTGGGTGACAAGAGTAGTGGCAACAAGCGACGACGCGGCATGAAAAAGCTCCGCAAGCAGTGGCCACGAGTGTCGCACGCAGCGACTGACCACTACCCATAGGCCCCATGGTAGCTCCCTTTTGTGGTTTGTATTTAGGATCCTATTAGGAAATCCCCAACAAGAAACTACTATGGGGCCTATGGCGGCCCATGGGTAGATGCAGAGGAAGCCTGCGACTTTGGCAAGGCTAAAGCTCTGTAATGGCTTGGCCCCATGGACTTTCGCCTCGTCGGTAGGTTGTTGTCTCGCAATCATGTCCTGCAGTATCCTGTCTTACATCTTGCTATACTGCAGTCTGCGAAATTTTACCGCACGCTTCGAAATTCAGAGGAATCCTGGCTCCAGGAGCCATCCCATCTACGATTCAGCTGAAGCCCACATCGGCCAAAGCATCTCTGGCAATCGGGCTAGGCCATGTCCCGTCCAACCTCAGCATTCCAAGATGCTTCTGAAAAGGGAGATTTGCAAGATGCAACAAGTGGAGGTTCACAGGATTGCACGTTCAACCAGGACTGGGTTGCGAAGTTCTTTGAGAATGGGGGGTCTTTCGGGCCTTCCGGCTGTCCTGTGTTCAGGACCAGAAGGACTCCGAGATTTTTGCCAGGCATCGAACACCGTGGAGACTCCCTCTCTGAAGCACAGCGTTTCTGGCTCCTCTGGGCTCATGAAACAGCGTGCCTCGGTCCCACACCTCTGCCTTCTTGCCGACGGAGTGGAGGGGCGCGCCAATAGTGAGTCCTAGTTCCTGAAACTGAGGAGCTCAGAAACCATGGTCAGCTCGCCCTTCGCAACATCAACGGACCATCAACCCCGCCTCGTGAGGGAACACAGATTCCTGTGAGGGCCGGCGAGCTCATAGAATTCTGATACAGACTGCGCAGAGGCCTCCAAGACCTTACAGGAATCCGGCCACAAAGCAACAGGGGTGCTGCTGGCGTACGCAACCTGTGTGAGCTTTTCGATATCTCGCCTTCCTCCGGGCCCCCTCAAGTTCAGGATCCCCGGCAGAAGGACTGCCATCTCAATAAAGTCTCGCTCGTCCCCGCGCCCAATGCGGAAGCGCATGACATGCATCTTGGGCCAGGTCGTGTTGCTTTGATTCGAATCCTCGAATGACAAACTAATGCCGGCCCTCAGTTCTGTCTGCACCGGGCACAGTCGGCGTCCGGAAACCGAGCCCTGATGAACCGCGATCCTAAGCGATGGCGAGTGGGATGACGCATCAGGCAGCCCTTGGGCATCCACCCTGCCCCTGCACTCGTCTGACATGCGCAGCATGACCATGCCAGTCGCGTCTGGACCAAAATCGATACGGTCCATGACCTGCTCGGAGCAAGCTCCGCTCCGATTCACCACGACACCAAAGAAGGGGCTGATGCAGTAAGGTCCCCCACACTCCCCGGCTGCCGCATAATGCTCACAGAAGAAATACTCCTTGTAAAACATCCGCCAGGAAGGGCGAAGTTCTTTCCGAATGAAATCAAGATCCCTCTCGGCGCCGCTTGAGTTGCACGATGTACTTTCTCGTCGGCTTGTGTCCGCAAGCACGAATCCTAGAGACTTCATCGATGACAGAACTTCAGGACAGAAGACCTGGCCCTCATACAGCGGCGCTGCGCGGAGACTTTGCACCTCCAGCTTAACGAAGAGCAGTTGGGTCACGAAGTCGCCTGCAGACCTCACCACTCGCAGATCCATGCCCTGCGCATCCACCTTCACTCGTGCCACTGGGCGGCCCTGTAACCAGTCCCGAAGGACGGTGCGTAGGGAAACGCAAGGCACCACCCGGCGCTCTTTCAGCACAGAACACTCTTGCTCGACCCACTTGGGCCAAGACGTCCCTCTCCCTGACTCAAGAGATTCTTGGTTACGGCTTTGGAACTGCTCCGCGGGCGGCAAGAGGCTGCTGCAGCCATCCACTGGAGTCACGTGGAAGACGGCTTGGCCCATCGGGCACGCGTCCACCGCGTATGGCAAGGCCAGAGCCCTGGGATGCTGTAGCCCGAGGTTCACGAAGTATTGATCCCGGCGGAAGGACAGGAGGTGGCCATACTTATCCAAGAGCGGCTCGAAGCTGATGAGAAAGCCTCCGGCCCTGTCGCTTAGGAGCAGATCCAGATCCCGCCGCTCCAGCTCGAAGTTGTTCGCACCGACCTTTCGAGGAGAAACCGCCCAAAAAGACACAAGCGTGCAGTAAGCATGGAGACGGGCAGCCTTTGAGTGATATGTGAGTCTTATGCCACACACCGAAAAAAGAACGGCGAAGAAGCAGGCCTCCAGGAAGAAGAGGTCCGGTTCCGTCGCCAGGTGCTGCCAATTCCGCTCGAAGGGTAGGTGCGCGACCTGTAGGCGAGCGAAGAGCCCCTGATCCATGGCGGCGACTCCCATGACAGGGCGACTCGTCTCGGGCTCGGAGGACTCATCTTAGAGCTACGAAACTTGCCCCTTTGTACTATATTCTGCTCCTGTTCCCTCTGCTTCTGCTTCTGCGTTTACGTCTTCTTCCACCTGTACCACTACTGCGTCTACTACCACCACCATCATCACCACAGCCTACCACCAATGCCACTGCTGCTGCTAGTATGATGATCACAATATCGGTATTGCGCTTTGTGCTAGTTGCCACTTCTCTCAGTGTTCTTCCCAAAACCTTGACTACCATGACGATTGTTTCTTGTACTATTGGTGTGGTCTGTGGTTGTTTACTATGAATTCTGTTGCCTTGCTGCCGATTATCGACACGTTGCCTAGAGACTGTTTGTTCCGTGCAGTATTTCGGATCCCTGCTTCGGGCTTCAAACTAGCAGCTTACGGTACGTACAGTACGGGCTCAGGAGTTTCGGCTTCAGAGCTTTGGCCACTCCGCGAACACCTCGTGGCGGCGGAAAGCTCAAGCATTCTGCACCTTGTTTGCCTGGCCCCTACGAAAACCCTTAACCCCTGAACCCCATAAACTGGAGCGCGCGAGAGTAGGCTTGTCACGGATACCCACAAGCGATCCGATAAAGCGGCTTTCAATATCGAGGCGTCTCATTGAGGCCCTACAGGCGGTGCCTCACCGAATTTAGTACCAGTTCAGGGTTCAGCGTTTGGGCTTTACGGCCCGGTTTTCAAGGCTTCGGGTTTTGCTGGGCTGTTTTTGGAAGCCCTCCAAAGACTACAAATAGTGTTCCCTCTGAATGACGAGTATCCTTCATACTGAAGTTCACTTGCATGTCCAAAAAGGAAGGTAGTTCAGGGCTGTTGGGGTTTGGGGCGGTAGATACTCCAGCTGGAGTTTACCCCAGTGCCAGTGCAGTAAAATAGACTTCCTGATGTGCAACCATTCCGTTCACGAAGCAGGGTCCACGGATGAACTCAAACGAAACCCCATGACCCATCAGGTAGGAAAAACAATCATCCGGTCTCAAGCAGGGGGGCAATACACGCTAGGTTACAGGTCACATAGAAGAAATACAGTCTGTAAGGCGGCCTAAACTCGGGCGTGGGGCTGCGGATGTAGATCAAGGTTCAGGTGCGCTGCATTCATATAGGGGCCTTAATAATTAGAATAGGGCTTTGGGACCCATTATACTATATTTACGATAAGGAACCCCCAAGGTACTTTTGGTAATTATTGAAGACCCTATACGGGGGGTTTCCGAAAATACGAGACCCCAATGTAGCACCCTAGATAGTAGGATCCTTGCTATGAGCCAGAAATAAGGTACCCCCTAAAAACCCCTATAAACCCTTAAGTCTATCAGCCTCAAGCTCCCTGCAGGCGAAGCGGCTCATGGCGACGCATAAAGACTTGTCGCGAAGTGGCCCTGCCACTTACCCGGGCTCTAAGCAGAATCTATGACCCTCGGTACCTCACTTGGGAGTCCTTAGAATTAAATCTCGAATCCTAGTAGGTGTATCTATGGAAACTTGGCGTCGAGATTCAAGCCGTGTAGGTGCTCATTTTTCTCTGTAGACCTCCTTAAACAGCCTCGCACCACATGGAGTGATGATGCGGAAAGTACCTGTGGTTGGGCTTACGATTCAGCGGGGCCAGTGCTGTCGCGACGACCCTTGCGATGACCAGTATACAAGACGTAGGAAGTATTCTGGTAACTATTCAGGCCCCATACTAAATTTATCCTTCTGTTGCTTCTGCTGTGTACTTGCACTCTAAAGCTGTCCGTCCTCACGTAGGCCCGAGTCCGCCAGTGCTGGCCAACGCGCAGCGCGACCTGCAGCATTCAGGTGAGGTTGAAGCCCTCAGCCCTTAGCCACACTGAAAACCCTGCAAATCCCCAAAACCTTGAACCCCCAATTCAAAGCTTCCCAATCCACCGACCCGTCCTCCACCCTCCTCTTGTGCAGGAGCGCTGATCGCAATGAGGCAACCTCATTGCTGAAGAAGCTTCAGAGGCCAGGAGGTGAGGATGCCAGTCAGGATGAGGATTAGGTGGAAAACAAAGATAGTCCCCGAAACCCTACAATCTAACAGACGGTCATATACGTTAATATACATTAATATACGCTGTAACATACGATGATATGCGATATATACCATGTACTAGAGTATACCATAACTTGATAAGATGACGATGAAGAAGAGGTAGACCACGAGGAGACCACCGGGACACCTCTGCCAAACTGCTCACATGTACCGGCGGATTCAGGGCGGTACCGGCGGATTCAGGGCACGGCGAACATCCTCCCCCCCCCCAATACTTTGTCCAATCTACAAAATACGGTTACACAGGCTGGATCCAGTTGTCAAGCAGCAGCATGAGCAGGAGAAAGAGGAGGATGATGATGGAATTCCCTCAACACTTAGACCCTAAACCCTAAATCCTAAACCCTAAACCCTAAACCCTAAATCCCATGCTGCAAACCCCAAACCCCTTTAACCCTAAACGAGGCCTCCGCCTGCACAGATCGCTCCTCGTCGAAGCGCCAAAGCGCCGCCTTGAATAAGACTATACAGTAGAACAGAACTACAATATACTATATGTTATAGTTTATACCAGATATAATATACAGTATATAGTACATAGTACATCGTATACAGTATAAAGTATATGATATACTCTAAAAAACAAATAACACGTGACATTTTCTACAAAAAGTTTAACAAACGGTATAAGCTACCAGGTTTTCAAGACCTTTGCCAAGCCCTCTTCAAACCCCAAACAAAGTCCCTTTAACACTCACAAAAACAGTTCAATGAGCCAATCTAAAACCGCTGATAAACCGGACAAAAAACGTAGTTCTCACAGCTCTCAAGAAGCAGTGGAAGAGCACGTAGCAGCTTGGTAGCAGTTCAAGCTACATCAAGATCTAAAACTCTTCCATGAGCGCACTGAGGCTCCCGAGATATCAACGAGAACGACCCTACAAGACCCCCAAAAACCGCTTGTGCCGGCCGCCTTCAGCGCAGCTCCCCGCGCCGCCTCGGCGAATAGCTTGGCAGCCTCCGCCTTTCACGAAGGCGCATATGGCAAGGTATAGTAAGGGGCCTTTAACGAGTAGGGTCGTGGACGTTTTGGGGAGTCTTATAGTAAGCAATCGCAGGCAGTAATGTTGGCAATGATTCAGGCTCATGTTTTCTCGGACTTTTGTATTGGGATTGACAGTAACGGATTGAATCTTGCTTAAGTTTCCTAAGGTTGTTTCAGGCTCTATGGACTTCGATTCCTATTCTCGGCTTCCGACAATGTCTTAGCTTTGAAGTCCCTGAACATGTTCAGGTGTCTCAGGATCTTAGGGCTTCGGGGTTGAATGTCTTCCAAGCTTGAAAGTGGCGTTTATGGAGTCGGGCTTTGTGTATAATGGCATTTTGGCGTGTTAGGCTTTCGGGCCATTTCGGGTTGATCCCTAAACCCTAAACCGCTAAACCCCTAAACCCCTAAACCCTAAACCAGTAAGCCTGTATGGGCTTAGGCTTGTTTGTTTGGCTTGAGGCCTTGAGGGTGTTTGGATTTTTGGGGTCTAGAAGGGTTGGGACTTTTTACGGTTTGGAGTTGAGCATTTAAGGGTAAAGGTAGTTGTCGTCACTGCTGAGTATGACTGCTGCATGATCCCTGTTGCTGTGGTTCTGTTGTTGTTTTTGCTGTTGTTCGTGGCGGTGCGCTGTGGTTGCTGCTGCTGTGTGAGCCCACTTTGCTCGAGAGGAAAGAATGCGAACACCACTTGTCAGTGACACAGGTCTTCCTGCCCTTGTGGAAGAATTGAAGGCACACGAAGGTGGAAGCAATACCGTGTAGCCCTGCATGATGTACTTCGGATCCGTTGCTGATTTTGGCGTCTGAGGACTGATTGCGCAACTCCAGCCAACTTTTCGTTGGCCTTGCCGATTGAAAATTAGTGGTGTTCCTGTTCAGGCATTCCATCTGCAAAGATGGCCGCATGCCATGCGAAAAGAGGCTCCACCCTATTTGGGCGGGTTCATGCACGATAGCTCATCTTGAAAATACAAAAAAAGCATACTTCTGACCACTAAGGAAACCAACCATAGCGATCACGAACTACTGCACTCATAGTGTCACCAAGTGTTTTTATACCAACTGCTCGAGCTCCCGCTTGAATTGGCAATTAGCAAACCGATGGCTCCCTGTGCCTTGTAGAGACACCACGGTCACCATCCATAAAACGGAAGTAAAACTGTTTACAAATTGAAGATCAGGCGGTGGCGAAACTGGCAAAAGGAAGCTGCCTCAGCAAGCATGTTCTGTTTGCACACTTCCTGGCCTCTGCGGGATATGGTCGAAACCCCAAGGTTGCCACCCGAGAGGACTGCCGCCAAGACTTTTGCACCTGGATCCACCACGTCCCAGAGCCATGCCTCGGACTCTGAATTCTCGAGACCGTGCGGAAATGAGCGACCGGCCATAGGTTCCTCGATACTTGCCGTACTTGCCGTACTTGCGCTTCCGCTTGCACACTCCGCCAGGCCGAACTCAGAAGCAATGCCTTGGTTGAGGCTAGGGCTCGGCCGTCTTAAGGATGGTGAGCCTAGCCTAGGCTGCCATAGATCAAGCCTACAGCTACTAGTACCCCAGCAGCACAATCACTGCTAAGCCACGCGCATCGACATCGATCAGTCTCCTAGCTTCCACCAGCAAGGTGGGAGGAATGCAGCAGGCTGCGAACGCGATTGAGTCGGCCACCTGGCAAGCACACCTAGGACCTAGACCCAGTGACCTAGGAGGGAACCGTGACACGATTTTGGAATTGGGTCCACCTGCACACCATCCGTGAAGATCAAGGGCCCGGAGGGCTCCGACATGGCTGCAAAGCCAATGCTGGAGCTTGCCACGATGAAGGCCAGATTTCTGGGCTGTGTGGGCTTTGAAGGCTTTCGGAGCACGCTACGAGAGGAGCAAGAATGCTACCTGCGCCTACGAACGGTGGTACTTACGGAGAGCAGAATTGATGACAGTTTGAGGTTGGATCTTCTCGGTAGCGGCTCGCGAACAGTCGACCCTATGGCCTATGGGTATTTATAAACTCAACTTCAAGAAGAAGGCGTTCTCAATCACTGCCGCGGCTTCGCTGCCAAGCCCTGCACTGCTGCAGGAACCACATGCAAACTCCAGCCGGCTTCCTTCTGCAAGATCTTGAAGAAGTCATGCACTTTGTTGGCACTCGTGTAGTCGGTGAAATTGACAATCGCCACGGACATAGGCCGATTAGCAATTGTGTCGTACGGCACATGCACAAGATCGTACCTCCCAGCACCTTCGGCATTCAACAACTGCAGGAGCATGCTTCGATTGAGCTTGCTTGGAAGGCCAGACAGCATCAGCGTGGTTGTACCAGCATCAAGCATGCCTTTCCTTCCTTAAACGTGCGTCGGGAGGTTCGTCCGCACAAATGAGCACAAATGCTTTGAGCCGTGGAAGCCACACGAGCAGCCAGGACAGAAAGCTGAGATCATCCGTGGAGTGGACATGAACCTATTGGGGTCCCCTTATAAGGTGCCCAAGACGGGTCGCCGCAACCCCAAACCAGACACCCACGGCCTGGCGCTGCTTCTTCCGCTGCCGCTTCTGCAGCCAGCGCTGCCAGTGGCACAGCGCAGATGCTGCCAGGATGAGGTACCAATGCATGATGGCCTGGAGATGGATACTTCAAGGGTGCTCCAGCCGGCAATTTCGGAAATGGTCGGGCGAGTGAACTACGCCACTGTCAATAGAAGTGGCTCACCGCGCTTCGTCACATGGTGGCCCGGTCTGTTCACGTTGATACTGACTTCTATGTCGCCACCACGAGCCTTTGTCGGTGCCGATGCCGCTGAAGCTAGTGCTGCCGGTGTTGTTAACAACTTTCAGCTGCGGACATTCTGCGGTCATCCAGCGCTTTTGCTATTCAGGTCCATTGGATTGCTTTGGGAAGCAACCTCATCATGTTTGTTTGCGCTGGTGTTCTACTACTACACGACCACCGCCTCTTAATAGGACGTTGCTGCTGCTCCTTTTCTGATTTGACACTTCTCGTCAACACTACGACTCCGTCTGCTTAGTCTTCGTCGTCTGGAGACTGTCAGTTCTGCAAACAATCCCGTATTCCGTATTGCATGTTGCTTGCTGACTGCTGCGTCTAGCTTGTGACTCTACTGCTGAACGAACGCCCACCACCCGACAAGTTTAGGGATATCATATAGTTGGAACGGGGTTTTCGAGCTTCACATTGCTTGCCGATCGGCTGGTGCTTGGACTTGATTCTTTGAAAGCCAGCCGTCAAAGCCCTGCAGCGAACTAACCGAAACCGGCAACCCACTCGGTAACACTGCATAGTCGATTTTAGGCTTTGCTCAAAATATCATTCCGGGGAAACCGGCAGCAGCCCGAACAGCACCGATCGCTGGCATGCTATGGCATGATCTGCCGGGTGTAGAGGCTTACCTAGCGACCCTAATTCCTGACCTCCGTCTCTTTCACTTGCTCCTGGCGCCACTTGCCGACCTCAAGGGGGCACGGGCTGCTTCCCCCCAACGTTCGGCTGCGCAGGAAAGTTACCAGCAGTGCATACTCTTAACGTTTCGGGTTTAGGTTCTGGGGTGTAATGCTTGCTCATGTAACAATTGCCATCCTTGGCAACCATGTGTGCCCTCAACCACTGTCACCGCGAAGATCTTGTCATCACCCTCCTCTTCTCTTTCATGCTCATCATCGCCATCATCATCACCAGCACCAACGCCAAATATCAGCCATGCATCACGAACAGCTCAGCATCATCAAGATCAGCCTCATCAATAACCACGACAACCAGCAGCAGCAACAGCAGCAACAACAACAACAACAACAGTCATTGATTTTTGTCCGACCGATATTTTCCGCCGAGGGGCCGCCGAATGCCACTGGTGCAGCCAATATCTCGCGGCCTTCCAATGACAAAGATAATGGAATCTAGAATCTGATTATGTACATACATATATATATATATATAGATGTACTCTATAAAAATATAACCTACAATATGTCATCTATATTATATAACCTATAACATCTAAGACACAATATACACTATGTAAGGATGTAGGCTTCGGGCCAAGACGAGGATTAGAGGCTAATTGCTGCTTAGCTGAGGCAGCACAAAAAGGTTTTGATAATGCAACAGATAATTCTATGTCCATCAATATTGCTCATAATGCCTTGCACCACCCTAAACCCTAAACCCTAGAACCCCAAACTCTAAACCCTAAAAGAACCTGTGGGCACCGCAACCTCCTCGGCCCTGGCGGCTACAAAGCAGGCCACCGCAACGCGCTGCTGCCGTGCTGTCTGGAAGAAGCACCTGCCCCGCGCAGACCAAAGCTCAAGACTTGATGGGATCCTTGCATGATATATCATAAACTATGTTTTATAGAACGTACAGTACATAGTGTGTATATATAGATATATATATATATATACATATGCATATATATATATATATATCCAATATTATATTAAAGTAAAATATAGTATAGTATAGTTTATTTTATTATTCTCATATTCTGTTACCGCATGTTATGTTATATTGTAGTATATGACATTATAGTATGTTGTATAGTGTAGTCAGTGTAGTATAATTGGTTATATCTATATTATATTATATAAATGTATGTATATATAGAGAGCCCTGAAAACTCAACAGCGAAGTCCAAGTGCAGATCTCATGCAACAAACCTCCGAAAGTTTGGCTTTTGCTGAGTGAGTGGCCGTTTCAGCCTTTGAAGACGGCGCTGAATACTCGCCGAACTTCACGAATCTAATGAGTCACGTCTGCATCCGGGCTACAGGAGGGCGGAGCAGGTACACTGCAGCAGTCTGCGCTCGCGAAGCTGGGTAGCCGCCGCCAAACCATGCCTCCGACGAACTCGAAGTGTGCTGACCGTGGTGTTTTATATAGTCGGTTTGTCGAGTCATGTTTCAGGGTATCTGGGAGACTGTCATGACTTTTGAAGGCTTCGAGTTCAGGGGCGGAGTGATATGAGGGGTCAGAGGCTGCCTCGCTGGCTGCTGAAAACGACACGATGATTCCGAAGAGCCGAATGCGAATCACCGGAGCATCATGCTGTGGCTTCTCGGCTCAAGCCAACCCAGATGCCTCAAGAGAACATTGAAATCCTGACACTCAGGCCCTGAGCACGAAGCCCCAACAAGCAAGTCCTGAGCTGACCAGCCTTCGCGCAGAGCGTTCCTTCAGCTTCTCTTGCCACCTGTGCAGAATCGATCCAAGGGGTTTCGGATTTCAGGGGTGCTTGACATGTTATTCCGCCCAACCCTGGTCTGAAGGGCAGGCGGAGTGCAATGGCACTATCCACACTGTCAATCATCTTTCACCTCACCGGCAGCCCACCACCGAAAACCCCAGAGCCTCAGAGTCGTCTTAGCATCGAAGCGGGTGTGACCTTCGGAGGGCTCGACGACGGGCGTTGGCGGCCAAGGCTGCGGCGAGCGGACGGCATCGGCTCGCCAAATGCATCTGCTCAGCCCTCAGGGGGGTATGGCTTATACAGTACTGTATATATATATATATATAGAAATATATATGAATAAATTAGTCCATATAGTACATATGTATATATATATATATTATATTTATATAGTATATACAGTATATATAGTATATGCGGTAAAGTACATTCGGTATATAGCCTTGATCGTATAAAGTACTAAAGGGCTTCGGGGTTTTGAGGTTTAGGGTTTAGGGATAACCACATCAAGTTCAATTCTGGGGACTCGTATTTCCGATTACAGTGTCAGTGGGATCTGTGCGACTCGAGTGCACGATGCGCAGTCCGCAATGATTTCGCCAGACAGCCCAACAGGCACCATTTTAATTGAGGAACATATACACCCATTTTAGACGGGGCCTCAAGGTATGTCGTCACTTGTACAAGGGCCTCAAAAGGGGCATTGGGCTTTCTGATATCTGCCCCCTAGGTCCTGCGCTGATGGTTCTCTCGGAAGCGGCCCAGCACCCGGCGCAGCGCGCGCCGGGCGGCCTGTTTCCGCAGCTGCTCTGCTGCCATGGCGGCCCTGCTGCGCTTGGAGCGGCGCAGATCGGCATAGCTTCGCAGATGCCTCAGCACCTTCCAGAACGCACTGCTCACAGAAATGGCTAGCCACAAGAAGGCCGCTGCAGACTCCAGCCTGGCGTTGCAACCAGCGCGGGCGATGCTGGCAGGCCTGATTGTAGCCTCAGGTACCGTGCATGGCCGATGAAGCATTGCATCAACAAGCCTGCAGAATACTAGTGAATAGTATTCAGCCCCCCATGTTGCTCGCTTTCTTGCGTCCGGCGGCAACCGGGGCGGGCGAAGGCAAGCCAGGCTGCCAGGCATCTGCGTGACAGGGCATCTGCCTCGAGTGGATGATAAAGTTAGAACCAACCAATCCATATAGTCCTAGACACTATAGGTCCTAGAAGATAAGCCCTGAACCTTTAAGACTAGGCCCTACACCCAACAACTAAAACTCCTCTCCGAGGCACATGACTTTTCTCCAGGGCTATACATTGACGATGCCTCTGCTCGGCCCTGGCCGCTCCTTGCGGGTGTGCATCGGATCGGGCGGGGGAGGGTGGGCTGGGGCGGCTCCGCGTTGTTAAGGTTTGGGGTTGTGCTTTCTTTGGGTTGTCGTTACATTTGGGGTTGCTGCTGGTCTTCTTGGAACCTGCTTTCCCCAACAAATTTTTGGTCTGACAGAGTTTGGCTCCACCGAGCTGCACCTTGGTGTTGCCACCTCAACCACCACGATGCCTTGCCTTGATGCAGAAATCGGTACAGTAGTGTCTCAAAGACCACGATGCCGCTATGACATCTCCACGATTTCTCTTGACGCTGAAAAGGCCAGCAGTCCACTTAGAGCTGTCATTATTTAACTTGTTGCAGGTGAATTCTGCCGAATCTACAGCGCTGCATGCTTGTGCACAAGACCCGACTTCATTCCAAAACCCATAAATCCAACCCAACTTTCTCTGACGATGGGTTATACATCCCTCAACTGCAGGAGGGTGACCGGACACCCTAGGACCCTCCAACCCAAATGCTAGGCACCGATCCCCAAGCCCGAAACACCACAAAACCCGGCACTCAGGGCCCTGTCCTGACAGAAAGCAGGACCAGGCCTGCCGCGTCTGCTTGTATTCGTGGGTCTGAAGAACTGACTACAGCAGCAAGAAGGCTAATTGTTAATATGATGGTAACTGGTAACATAGGAGGAAGGCTATGCCGGAAGCACAGCAGCAGCAGCAGCAGCAGCAGCAGCAGCAGCAGCAGCAGCAGCAACTGTAAGACTACTACTACCACCACCACCACCACCACCACCACCAGCACCACCAGCACCACTAGCGCCCGCACTAGCACCCACACCCACCACCATTTCTGCCGACAACAGCAGCAGCAAAAGCAGCAGTGAAAGCAACAGCCAAGCACGATGTGAGCCACATTTGCCCGGAAAACCGTGACCGACAAGCCAAACTCTGAATTGTTTACCAACCCTTAAACTCAAACCCTGAGTCCTGAACTTCCTAAACCCCGAAGCCCTACCTACACCCCAAACTCAAACTCCTAAACCCTGACCTGGACCCCAAAAGTATGTAGAGTAATAGCCTTGCTATGGGTTTTGTTGCCATGATTTATTTTACCTACCTTTGGGTGTTTAGGCAATGCCAAACCCACCGAGCCGAGATAGCCTTGAAAGAATCTCCGGGCCTGACGGAGAAGGATACGCCGGCGGCACTTCACCGCCAGGCGCCGCTGCTGCTCTTTCCGCTGTTCTGGGTCGTGGAGTCGAAGCTTTCATGGGCTAACACCGGCGAATACTTAATAATACAAATAATACGTAAATACTAATTACAGGTAATTACGACTAGTACTCAAAGAGTCATAGCAATACTAATAGTCACGCTTAAGGGCTCCTTGAAGTTAGATGTAGCATCAGGTGTTACGATGGTTTAGTCCTTGTCAGTTTAATGCTGCGTAATCGCCTCCGCCACAGTCTTTCGGCTGGCTTGGAGTCTGAGGTTGAGAGGTGGGAACAGCTGGGCCCGATGAAGTACTACAAGATGGTGAGACTAGACTAGACCCTAAACCCGAAACCCGAAACCCTAAAGCCGAAACCCTAAACCCGAAACCCGAAACCCTAAACCCGAAACCCGAAACCCTAAACCCAATGCCCTTCAGGCTGAAGTCCTCAGCTTCCGAGTTTCCGAAAGTTCGGCGGACAGTGGAACTTATGGCCATGAGCGGGTCCAGACATATGGGCAGTTCTCCAACTTAGGGTCCCTTCTAGGGTCATTTAAAGAAGGGGGGTTGCCGTATGTATGATTTAAAGGGAGCTACAAAAGGGACCCTAATTTAGAGAACTCGCCATGTAACGCAGCTACAGATCCGATGGGTTTTCGCCGCACTGCGGAGGACGAAGAGATGAAGTCAGCCGGCGAAGATCGATCGGATTCGATCCTCTAAAGGGAACTGCAACGGAAACTGGAGCATCTGCTGATCTGGGTTCGAGGAAGGAGGCAGCATGCAGTCGACAACACTGACTGCTTCCCTCCATGAGTGTCATGCGTTGTTCACGGCGAGCTTTGTTGGCCACTGTTGGAGTAGGCCCTTTCGTGCTATCGCCATAGGCTGCTGTCATCCCGGTTGCAGGTTTGCGGACAAGGCGCGCTTCTGGCTGTAGGCTGCCAGGGCCGCAAAAGCGTGGCGACTCAGAGGCAGGCTCTGCCGCTTCTGCAGCTGCCGGATCCTACAGAATTTCGCAAGGTTGCCAAATAATAGGGTTTTAATTCAAATATGTAAGGACCCTAAGGTCCCAGTTATGAGAACAAATGCTCCTCGAAGGGTTGTGTTAGGTTTCATAAGGTTGCTGTACGGGCTGTTGCAAACAATAGTTCGAGAATTCTCAAGGGTTTCGGCTGTCCAGATCCCTGATTCGATCGCGGCATTTGCACCATGGCTTGGCTCGGAGATCCGAGAACGCCTCTGCACGACTGACCACTGGTACGAAGCCCTCCTGAAACACCAGTTGCTGCAAAACGTTTTGGCATCCTTTGAGTGCAGTGCCTGGCACATCAAAGCCCAATTGGCGGCTGGCCTGCAGCAATCTCGCCAGGCGTCGAGAATCCCTCGCCGGCGCAGATCTTCCACAGCCGCGGCGCCTGGTATGCAGTCGCAGGTGCAGCTTTTGTGCCTTTTGTTTTCTGCCGTTGCGCCGGCGTAAACCTTTCGCTTTCGATAAGACCAATACTATGACCCGACATGGATGGCACCGAGGCGCGCAGTGCCAAAAGAGGCCGCTTCTTTGTGCACTCCACTGCATCCTGTGCCGACCAGGTGCAAGAACAGTCAGCAGCACAAAGACCCATAGGAGTGAAGTGATAAGAGCAAGAAAGCAAGAATAAGAAATCTTGTACGAGTGATCAAAGAGATATGAACTGAAGAAAAGACCGAAGCTTTAAGAAAAGCAACCACACTCAAGCAATAGAAGACCGTAGTTGTCTTGAGATGATCAAAATAAATCAAGCAATGACGATGAAATTTGTGGCAACAAAGTACACATGCCACTGATGGCGATGAGTACGACGATGATGGCTGCGAGTGAGAGGGGGGATCGTAGGCACTACTGACGACGACGACTACTGCTGCTTCGACGACTGCACGACCTTTATATACCTTTATCAACAGACTCAGAATCAGAACCACGAAACAACCTGCTCGGAACAGATCGAAAGCGGTCCCTCCAAGCGCTAAAGGCTGTCCGCAGGTTCCGCAGCTCCCGCTCCAATACCTCGGCTTAAAGTTCTTTGCAAGTTCGGTTTCGGGTTCAGGGCGAGTATAGGGTTGCTTGGCTCTCAGATCGCGATTTCAAAAACAAGCTTCCGGGGTGGTATGGAGGCTGCTTGAAGCTGCAATCAGGCTGGTCCAACTTTCAGCTGAAGGTGCATTCTCGGCGTAAAAAACCTCTGGATTCGCTGTCGCAGATTGTTGGAGCACCTTCGATACGTAGTATCAAAAACAGGGCCCCAATCTCCCCCAAGCCCGGGCAAGGCTCCACCATCAAGGTCCGATCCCAGCTATAAAGGGGGTTTCAAGCAAGGAGTCACATGGGTGGTTCTGTAAATTAGGGCCCCTTCTTATTCTAAGATCCCAAATATCGTGCGGCACCCTTGTGAAATGGACCCTAAAAGGGAGGGCCCTAATTATCTTGCCCAAGGCACAGCGGCCTGCACCACTACCGCGGCCAGGAGTGGCATGGCATTGCGGCTCTGGTGCCGTAGGGCTCGTGGGATCTTGGAAGGATCTTGGGTTTGTCGGGGGTTTAGGGTTTAGGGTTTAGGGTTTGGGGTTGAGGGTTGAGGGTTTGGGGATGAGGGCTTAGGGTTTAGGGTTTGGGCTTGAGGGCTTAGGGGTTAGGGTTTAGGGTTCTTACTTAGGAAACCGTCGTGCGCGTCATAAGTACCGCCATACCCAGGATAAACCCGCATATGACCGTAATACTTAGTCCCATGATACTTCAGATAAGCTTGGAGCTCAGAAGGCCTCTGAAACACGAGCAGGACGATCGCAAGACTTCTGAGCTTTTGAGGCCTGTAGTTGATGCTCAACGGTCCATCACGAACTCTGCTGTAACTTCCGACCGATCAGGAACGGTAGCCACATTTATCAGGCGTCCACGTTGCAAAGACGCCGGCTTGCTCCAATCTTTTTAGGACTTAGTGCATGCGACCTTAGGTCACAAACTTCGCACTTCGGTGCCGGACCTCACGGTAAACTTGTAAGGCGTGTCCCCGCTTGACACAGCCTAAGCTTGAACCAAATCGGCGGACGCGGTCTCACTTCTAGCAAAAGCCCAACAAGAGTATATGCTGCATGTCATCAACACGAATTCGCGAAGATCTGTCACATTACGAGGTCCCTGCATGAGCTCTCAGAGATTCTGGTGATGCTGCTCTTCCCTCAAAGTCCCAATAAACCCTGAACCCTACACCTAAACCCTAAACCCTGAACCCTAGACCTAAACCCTAAACCCGAAACCCGAAACCCTGAACCCCAA